ACCCCCCGACATCCGAACCCCCCCCCGGCCCATCCACCCCCTCAACACCCCTCCGGAAGGCCGTGTACGGAGGGCCCAAAGTCCGTACGTACGGGGGCCGGGGCCCGTACGTACGGTCGTACGGGAGTACGTACGACCCCTATTCGTACGGCCGTATACACTGCTGGCAGGGGCCCTCCTCAAGGATTTTAACGGTCCGATTGTTTCTGTTGGAAAAAAAAAGCACCCGGAAACAGAAAAAAAAAGGAGATTTGTGAAGAGTTGCAATGCAGAAAAGTTTAGGTGAGGGTCAGTTGCAAAGCTGGTAATTGAACAGAGCCCATGTGGCTGAACGGTACACCCATGAACTGTCAATAAACGGAACCGAGTGCGAATCTAGAGACAAAAACAACTTCAAAGTTTAAACAAGAAAACTGTACTAAAAGTCTAAAACAATTCTGAATTTCCTAAGACCAATCAGTTTCACAATGATACCTCAAGACTGTCAACATCTTTCAAAAAAAAAAAAAAAAGGATATCAACAGCAGTCAACGAGCCGGGGGAGGGGACAGGGGAGGGGGTAGGGAGGGGGAGGAAAGTGGTGTGCCAGTGGGTCTGCATGACATGTAGGCGTCCAGATGCAGGCAGACGTATGCTACGGTCCACATTATGGTGTCTGGGTGAGGTTGGCGTATCTGGGGCCCTGTGTATGTTTGCTGACATTGCTGGGTATATATATTTGTTTGTGTTTTTTTTTTTTTGTTGTTTTGGTGCACAGCATGTGGATGAAAATGCTCGGCTGCGAGCTATGCTAGACGAATGGAGTGCACGGAACGCAAAGGTACTGTATATGCGGACAGCGACTGAAACTGGGTCCGTTTGATCAAATCGGACCCCCAACTAATGGGTAACTACGAACTAGTCTATGGACCCCCCCACTAAATTGGTGCATTGGGGGGCAGACAAGCAAAGCCTACATTTTATTTATTGATTTATTTATTTATTTCAAAATTTTTGTTTATTTCTTAAGCAGGGGACCCAGGGGTTGTATTTTTCATTTACCATGGATAATATTGAATTAGCTCCCTCTCCCTTAAACCACCACTACCCGCTGTTGGGAAAATGGGAAAATAGGCTACTCCTAAAAATTTGGGGGCTGGGACCGACAGCCGCCACCGTTGATAAATCTCTTCGGCGGCCGTCGTCTCGTTTCAGCCTCCGAAACGATCGGGTACCCCACAATGTGAAAATGAGGCCCAGGTAGTGGCGTTTTAAGGAATTGAATTACGTCTCTCTCGGGTAGTGCATTGAAATATCTCCCTCCGCACTGACAAATTTAGTTACCTGTCTCCCCTGATATGGAAATTCCTCCCTCTCCCATCTCCCTGTACAGTGTGCGCTCCACCTTGGAAGTGGACACGACATTCTTTTTTTTTTTTTTCCGAAGGGGATTAGCCCCTAACATTATTGTAGCGACCGGATTCCCCTTGTGATTCGACTCGTGACTTGTGTAGTATTATACCACTCAGCACCCAACTTATAGGATCCGTTATACCCAAAAATAGCATCTGTTATGCCCCAAAAGTCTCCTGGTTGGGTACTACCGGCCCAAACATTTACCCTCTTGGTATTAGGAATGCTTGTATCGTGCTGTTGGTCCAAGCGGATCATGAATACAGCCCAAAAACTGGGCCAGATTCGTAGTCCAGTAGAAAGAGGCCGAGGGAGGTGACGCGAACCGGCAGGACAAGGCCGAGTGAAAGTAATAGGGCTACCGAATCATGAATCTGACCAAAAAAACAGCACCAGATTCATGTTGTAGTAGAAAGAGGACCAGGGAGGCGTCACCACAGCGCAAGGGCCAGTAGTGCTCAACCAGAAGACTTCGGGTTTGACTGACACTGCAAGTTTTCCGGTCATCAATCATCACTAAATCATAGCAAAGCAGATCAATCTTCCCTCACCAAGTACAAAGAACTTAAGTTATTTTAACATATTTATGAAATATATCACCACACACAAGAAGAAATGCAAAATGGCACATGATATGCAAACTTGCAAAGGGTTCAGGCCCTTCAGGGCATATTTACAAAGTAATACAAACATGATTTTTGACTGAATCTGGCGCAAATTGCGGTCAAATGCACCTAGGAACGTAGTAGAGTGCATATAACGCCCTTATTTGCCAAAATGGATTCAGCAAGTTAGCATGTTACGAGGTTGAAGAACGTGCCACACACACACAAAAAAAAAAAACGCCATGTCCAACCCATGGTGGGCCTTGTATACCAATTCTCCTCTTTTATAGCCGTATCTAGTACTATTTAGTGTTTATCAATTATCCTCTTTTATGTAGATGTATCATGTATGTATTATGTATATAAAAAAAAAAAGTATGTATTAGAAAACCCAAGGCCTCAGAAGCTATCACAGATTCTGTAAGACCCCCTCTCAGATAACGCAGTACACAGTTAAGATGGGATACAGAAAGCTTCTAAGAACCAAAGACCCCGAGCCAGTAATCAAAGCAAGATGGACGAAAGTTCTTGGACAAAGAATAGAACCAATTTCAGAAATCCCCTGGAGAAAGTATAAGTCAATTCGCCCAGTCAAGATAAGAAGTCTCCAATGGTTGATCACCTACAACGCCCTCCCAGTGAATGCCTGGCTTCATGTCCGAAGAAAGAACATCGATCCGAACAGTTCACACCAACGTACGGTATGCTCAGATAACGAACAGGAGGATATAGTACACTGTCTGATCACTTGTAAACTCGCTACTGACCTGTGGGCAAGAGCGTCAGTGCTCTGGGACCACTTATTCCCCTCTTCCCTACCCGAACACCCAATCCAACTTCTCCTATGGACTAACACCTCCGCTCTCTCCGACAAATCGGAACGCATCTGGTTCGGAATAATCAAGAAGGTAACACTGTGGGTCATTTGGAAGGAGAGATGCACCAGGACAATCGACAAGACTATCAATCCGACTGAACAAGTATGGACGACCACAGAATTGCTCATGGAGACCGATATCCGGTGCCAATGGAAGAAGGTCAGACTCCAAGCTCAGCAAAATCCAGAGAAACAGCAAGAGTTGATATCAAGCTTTAACAGAGTGTGGCTAGTCCAGGGGAAGATAGCTGAGATACAGGCGTTATAAATCAGATGGAAGGACTGGCACAATTCATCGAGACCCCCCGAGAAGGGCAACTCCCGACCAGGTAGAACAACAGGACTTCAGGGGGACATAAATTCCAGTGTACCCAACTCAAACAGCAAGTCTGTGGGTTTTTTGCTGTATCGTCTAACTGACAGATTCTGACTGAAGGATCCGAGAGGAAACACAGAGAAAGGCAAGCTGACAGTCAATCCTCCATGTTGTTGGAGTAATCAATGATGCTCAGGGTCCCTTCGCCCAGACGGAAGGGGGAGTGGGTGAGTTCAGTTATGTAAATTGAACTTTTATGACTTGCAGGGGGATTAGGAACCGGACAGACGCTCCCAAATTCAAACGGGTCTGGTTGGTGACAAAGTGGCGTGGCTAAATGGGCAGGTATTAAGATGGAAAGAGTGACATACTTCTGTCAAGTCTGTTTTCTTAGCGGAATACCCAGGTACATGAGGAACTAACTCCAATCTGGGCCTAGAACAGCGACCAAGACACACGCGCGACAGGCAGCAGCCGATGCTTCACATGGTACAGATCGCAAAAGAGTTTAGGGGTCGACAACATGCGAAGGAATGGTAGAATCCACCAGTCAGTCCTGGAGGAATCTTGCTTTTCACAGATTTAATACGACAGCAAAGGGTAGCAATAGCTAAGAGGATTCTTAGAGGGATGGCAAGCTGACAGTCAATCCTCCATGTGGTCGGAGCAATCAATGCTGCTCAGGGGTCCTTCGGCCAGACGGAAGCAAGCGTTGGTGTGTGAATTATTGTATTTTATGACTTGCTGGGGGAAAGGAACTGAACTGACGCTTCCAGAATGGATATGGAGCCAGGACCATAAGGCCCTGTTTGTTAAAAAAAAAAAGAAAAGAAAGCCCAAGGCCTGACTTTGGCGAGTCCACGCAAGAAGAGACGTTGGATCTCGTACTCGACTAATTATGTTCTAGAAAAACTTCAATAAAGAGTTTCTGTTTTTCGTCTTGGGACATTGGAGCCTCTATTCTAGCAAGTTGGACCGGCACTTTTTTATGACCCGGAGACGGTAGACCAATTCCTCGAGTAAGTGCTTCGAATTCTTCTAGGCAAGTCTTTGGGGTTTTCTTACCCCTTTTCCATTATTTTGATTTAAAATGTAAATTCATTTCATTCTTAGGCTGCCAGCCAGGCCACCCGGGTCACCCTGTTTTCCCGGGCGGCCTGGCCGTGCAAGGATCAAGGAAGGTCCCAGCAATTTTATTTTTTTTTAACCCCTTAAAATCCAAAAAAAAATCAAAAAAAAGTTAAAAAACTATATTATGCAGAAAAATAAACTGAACAACTTTTGCCTCAGGCTCACATCAAAAGGTACCTGCGCGGTCAAAGAACTGCAGAGGCGTGCTGGCGCCGCGGTAACGCTGTTACCACAGCGCTAACGCTGTTACCACAGCGCTAACGCGTCGCCTCAGTGGCGGCGTTCGGGCGTTGGGAGCTCCCTAATGGGGCCGACGAAATCTGTCTGCCTCGTCTGCCAAAACTTAGCGCTGGCGTGACCATGGCGGAGCAGGGAAGAACACTGGGATGTCAGGGGGTCGTGCCGAGGGAGCTGTGACATGCTCCTGGTCATAGCTGGGCTCACTTGACTTCTGTCAGGATTCCTGGTTCGGTGGAGGAAGGAGAGCGTGATATGTGGGGGCCATCGGCGGGTGGGATCCGGACGCTGCCTCATACCTGACGAGACCGATCGGGGGTTATGGAGGTTTTAGCGGGGGTCTCCTGCCCTGACACTGTTGTCAGGGTCAGCCCGCGAAGGTGAGGGAGACAGGAGCTACGGGAGATTGTCGGACTTCTCATGTTCACTGCACAGCGGGAGTACGTGGGGATTTCGCTTACGATCTCCAGCAGGAGTGCAAATTGACTTCAGGGATTGGGTGTGCTCACCTGTTACATGCAGCGTGTGCACTCACACAGGCCATTTTGCAGGCCCGACGGCCATTTTGCAGGCCCGACTGGATTCAGGCCAAAACCCTGGATTTCAGGCCGAAAGCCTGAAATTCAGGGCTTATAGGCCCCATTTCGGTTCAGGCCGAAAGCCTGACTTTCAGGGCCTACAGCCCCTGCGACGGTTCAGACTAAAGATGGTAATAGCATTTTTAGCCTATCTTTAGACTGTTCCCACGCCAGCCTCGAGCAGGCTGCTGCACGCCAGCCCCTGGCACACTTCGGCATTGGCAAGAGCTGCCTCCTCGGCCTGCTCGCCCTCCTGCAGTCAGGAGGCAGGCCGAGGTAGTACATAGGACTTCCCAGGCACTTCACGGGCAGGCAGTTCGGCAGTTGTAGTCTTCAGGATTCGGGAGCAGCACTCTGGAGGGAGTGCTGCGTTGTAGTGGAGTAGCGTTAGCTGTAGTCTTCGGCGCTGGGCGCCATATCCAGATAGTGGTAGAGAGAGGATGGGCGGAGGCCCGGGAGTACTTACCTGCAGCGCCGTTGCTCCATCTTCGTCTTCGAGGTACCTGCAGCACGGCGCCAACATCACAGGTTAGTACCTGGTTCGTAACAGTGAGAGAGAGAGAGAGTTCTCTTCTTCCTCTTCTCAGTCCACCATCTCCTTCTTACCCTCTCAACTTCTGACTTCCCTGGAGTTGCAGACTACGAGAGAAGAGATACCGGGCTTGGCGACATATGATCCAGACT